GAGGCAACTATGCTGGCAATAACAGCAGTGGCAACAATGATTTCCAGAAGAGGACCCGAGAGGAGGAATGGGACCCAGAATATACACCCAAAAGCAAAAAATATTATCTGGTATGTGTCTGGGGATAGAGAGAAGGAATCTGACCTAGACCATGGTCAATACCAGGGGTTTCCTTAAGCAGTCAGAAATGTTGAGCAGATGAGGCACCACCAGCTGGGTTCTGTACCAAAAAGTGACACACAGCTAGTCAGTCAGCCAATGAAATTCAGCTGCCTGGTGATTTATACCCTCCCTCTGTATTTGGGAGCCAGGGGTCTCTGACAAATGAAAGCATCCTGAAATATTATAAACAAGGTGTCCCACCTCTAGGGCCCCTTCTAGTTTAAAATTTATGACCCTGTAATGAATTGGATTAACCGTAAGGGGATCTGAACCAAGTACACGCTTACCTGGTTCCCCTCTTTAAGCAAACTTGGTTTATAAAACAGATTAAGGAGTGATTCTTAAAAGGAATTACCAAAGGATTAATTTCCCCAAAATTGAGATGTAGAGGAAAGTAATGTTTTTTCCTTCAAAGCAAGATTAAATAAACTAAGGTACACTAGTCTGAAAAACAAGAAAAGGAATGACAGCTTAGCATTCTGTTCCAGTTGAGGGTGATGTGCATATTTAGTAGGAAGAAGTCCTGGGAGCTTCAGATCTAGTCAGCGAAAGCCCCAGAGCAGATCCCTAATAGCTCCTTATAGGGGACAGGACCCCTCTGCACATATTAGGGGCCCCCGTCTGATGGATCTGCCTAGCTGACGTCAGGCCATTCCTGCCTTTGAGGTGAAAGCTGTTCTGCCTTCCTTGTCAGCAGGTGGCCAGTGAGAGAGCTTCTTGCATTTCCTCCCTCTTGAGCGTTAACTCTCACTAAGGCAGAGTTCTGTTGTTATTTTTAAGATGGGAGCTGACAACCACGTTATAAAGGCCAAACCACTATCAACAAAGTTGAAATCAAATACAACAAAGTTAATTTAGCTTGTGTTTAACAACTTACACATAATTGTTTTTGTGCTGTGTAACGATAATAGCTCACATTTATATAGTGCTTACTATGTGCCAGGCACTGTGCTAAGTGTCTTACAATCATTATCTCATTTGATTCTTAGACATCAGTGGCAAGCAGTACATGTAAATAGCTAATATTACTTGCATACTCTTAAAGCCAGACATATCTTAGGGCCAGCTATGGGGATAGAGAGGAGGGCGAAATACAGGCCCAGGAGGGTGTTCTTCAGCCTCTTCAGCCCTTCTGAAGATGTTAGATTGCGGGAAGCCTGGACAAGTCCCAGCAGATTTGGCTTGTTGTGGCTCCATTCCCTCTCCCCTACTGTCAGGACAGCCCAAGTAGAGTAAGCTAGAGTAGATCTCACATTTATGGAGTCCAAATTACCCTACATGGTCTACAATCCCACCCTTAGAGAGCATTCTGTGTTGGCAAATAAATGCCGTTTGGTTTGGGGTTGTGGTGCTGGCAACCATTCACTTCTCTTAAAAGTTTACCTTAAGTTTACTTAAAAGTTACACTTTGGGAAGTGTAACAAGCTTGTTTTCATTCCTCCTTCTTCCCAAAGTTGCACACAAGGACCCCAAGTTATAATGAACATTTCTAGGCTTTGGTGGAGCTCCAAGGGATGGAGGAAGCAGGGAAGGGCTACTCTGGCTGCAGTCGTGTAGGAGTCAGTAGACATACCCTGGAATCTTAACTCCAGCATTTGTGGGGTGTGACCTGGGGCAGCCCAAGTTTTTTCCTTTATAAAATACGAGTGTTCATTCTAGCACTCCCTACCTCCTAGGTCTGTCATGAGGACAGTGATTTTCTTATGCTTGGGTAGCTATAGACTAGTTGTGCATAGATGAGCCTTTGGTCTTGTTTAGCACCAGTATTGATAGAGCTTCCTTCTGTCCCCCAAAGACTATCTGCCTCCCTCTCCAAATCTCAACCTAGCTACTAGCCCCAGGGCCTTTGCTTTGGTTTAGTTGAACCAGTTGCTCTCTCCCTAAAACTTCACTGTAATCCTAGAAGTTTGGGGTTGAGAGAGGTTGGGAAAGAAGAGGCAATTTTTAAAACTTGGGCCTCTTAAGAGTAGAAGTAGTCGGTCCCTGAGTTAGGGAAGGGGCCTAAGAAGGACTCTGGGCAGCATGACTGTTGAGATGGGAGAGGAAGAAAGGAGAGTAGAAATAGTTTCCTTCTGTTCACCTGTCATATCACTAAGTGAAATGTGTCACACTCTTCCCTGGTAGCTTTGGTGCAGAGGGGGCAGGGAGCAGGGTGCTGTGTTGTTTGTTTTTAAGCTGGGCTCAGCCATTGGTGGGTAGATGGGCAGCAGCTTGGGTCCTGGCAGTTTCTTAACTAACTGAACTGTGCTGTCTCCTCAGCATGATGACCGAGAGGGTGAAGGCAGTGAGAAGTGGGTGAGCCGAGGCCGGGGCCGGGGCACCTTTCCTCGGGGCAGGGGCAGGTTCATGTTCCGGAAATCCAGCACCAGCCCCAAGTGGGCCCATGACAAGTTTAGCGGAGAAGAAGGCGAGATTGAAGATGATGAGAGCGGGGCAGAAAACCGAGAGGAGAAGGACAATTTACAGGCAGCAGCTGAGTAAAGAGCCCCTGGAGGGCAGCCACCCCCAAAGGAGAGAGGCATCTAGCACTGGCTGGGGAGATGTCCCAGAAAGACTGAAGAGCTGAAGAGAGGATCCTCTGCAGTACCCCCCCTCCCCCCAGTCCCCCACCCCCATCCCCACCCCATCGCCACCCCTGGCCTGTCCACTCAGAGCTGTCTGTGCAGGCTGGCTGAGGGAGGGCCCAGCTCTCCACCCTTAACCAGAAGTAGGGCTTTTGGTTGTTTCTTGCTTGTTTGTATGGGAGTGGGGTGGGACATAGGTTATGAAAACTTGTTTGGATTTCATTCTGTGTCCCATTTTGAACCAAGTCTTATTTTTTATTTTTTTTATTTAATTTTATTTTTCTTTTTCCAATATAAGCTGAGAGATGAGGACTAATTAGCTTTTTTTGGTCTCCTCTTCCTCCACCTCCCCCCCAGTTTTTTAGATCTCTACTTTATGCATATTTAGTAACACTAGCTCTCCAGGTTTAATTTAGGAAAATGATTCGCAAGAACAAAACATTGGCATGTCAACTTCGATTTGGGACCAAGCAGCATTGAAAAATCTAATTTTTAGAGCAGCTTTTGTATGTAGTAAGTTTAGGTCCTTTCAAAATACCTTGTTTGCATAAGCCTTCCCTGCCGAGCTCTCTGTGACAGGATGTTGGCCCCACATACATTCATACCCTCTAACCTTTCTCATTTCCAGGGGGCTTCTATCCCTTGTGGGACTAGACCCCAAGATGTTTCCAAGTTGTGCTTATCCTCTCAGCAACTGGGATGTTAACTGGAGGGCAGTTTTTGGTGTGTTTTCTAAGAAACTTCTGAATTCTAGCTTAAAAAATTATAAAATGAGAATAATTTTTTCAATATTTTTTATTAATCTTTTTATAAAATGAAAACTCCTGTGATTAATGAAGGAAGGCAGTTGGGGTGTGGTTTGTGGGGGTTTTTTGTGGTTATTTTTTTTTATTACACCTTATGTTTTAAATTTAAATTTTCTCAAAAGATGTTTGGAGAAAACAATTATCTGGAATGAGTCCCTATGCTTGCTACAAGCAGGTGAATCATAAGGAGTTCATATATATGTTGTAAAAAAAAAAAAAAAGGAAAGAGAAGACTGCTCCCCTCCCCTTCTGTACCTTTGCCCTCTCCACCTTCAGATGGTTGTGCTACTTTTGTTCCCTCACTTTGCTAAATTTCTATAGTTCAGTTGGTTTTACTTGAATGATTCATGTTTAGGAAAAAAAAATTTTAAGTTTGTTTCAACTCCTCCAGCAAATAAAGAAAATAAGCACTAGATCTAAGTGAGCCTTGGTTCTTCTTGGAGGGAGGGAGGGGGTGGGGGGTTGGAGGGGTGGGGTGGCCTCTCCACGAAGATTCCAGGTGTGCTTGTCCTCTGCCTTCTTGGGAATCTGCCTGGAAAGGAGCACCATGTAAAGACTACTCTGCGCCTTCAGCCTCTCCAGGGACCTGTTTTCTCTCTCCTTCCTTGGGAGGAACCAGAGTTAGCAGGCAGCATTTTCTTAATCTGCAATCCCCTTCCCTTACTGTGCTCTTGGCTCTCCTGCCTGGAGGGCTCCCCACTACCACCGTCAACATATTAGCACGTTCTTAGCTGGAATGACGTCACTTCAAAGAGAGACACCCCTTCTCCACTCCCCAAACTACACCACTGATGGAAACCAATACCACACACCTTTGAACTGACTCGCTGATGGGAGTGGATGCGGTAGTTAGGTCAAAGGCTAAGCCCAAAGGAGAACCGGCAGTTGGAGCCAATCCTTGGAGGCCTTCCACTCTGAAGGAATTCTTTAAAACAGACTTGAAGACTAAGACCGACTATACCCTGCAAGTCCTCAAACACCGTCCTGTCCACAATTAAAGTCAGTTTCTGCCCGCAAATTCTTCACCTTATTTGGTAGGCTTTCTTCCGGTCACCTGTTCGGTTAGCTGATAAAGACAGACCAGAGAATCCCGACCCAGGTCTGTCGAGTTGTGCCAAGGACCGAAGCTGGGGAGACACAACTGACCTAGCAGTCCGGGAAGAGAAAAAGAGGTGTCAGCCTCTGTCTCCGCCCACTATATTCCCACGCCTTTAGGCTGCGCCGGCTGGCGTAGGTGGGGGACTGCCGCACCCCACAAATCGGCTGGAGGGGAGGGGCTTTCGCTATACCTTAGAGGTGGGAGTTGGGGGGGGGCAGAAGTTGCTGAGCAGGGTCCTCCCCCTTTCTTCCCCAAGCTGCCAGCCCCAGAGACACGAGGTCCAGCCTTTCTAGTCTCCGCGGCCCGTTCCCACCCCCGACCCCTCCCCTCCCCTCCCCGCTCACCTGTAGCAGGCCCGCCCTACTCCGCCCAGCCCTTTAACCCAGGCCCACGGAGTCTAGCCAGCCCAGCCCCTGGAACCTCCGGACGCCATGGGTACGTGCGGGAGGGACAAGGGTTCGGTTGGGGGTGCACTTCGGGAATCCCGACTCCCCGAAACGGACGGGCGGGGGCCGGAGGAAGGCATGAAATCCGTCTCGCTGAGAACTAGTTTTCTCTCGGACCTCAGCTTTCCCATCTGGGAAAGGGACTCTCTTCAACTGTAGATGTGCGGCTTAAGCCCCCTCGGGGTCGCGTTCTTTCGGGCTCCTCGTTCCCCAGGTGGAGGTCTCGGTCGGAGGGCTTTGGTCCCCTCATCCTTTCCTTCCTCCCACGCAGAGGTGCTGGTGCTGGAGGACTACCAGGCTCAGAGGGAGGACGAGCTGACCCTAGTCGCCGGAGACCTGCTTCGGGAAGTGAGCCAGGGGTCCGAGGACGGCTGGCTCCTGGGGGAGCTGGCTGGGCGCCGTGGTCTCTTCCCCAAGCTCATCGTCCAGGTGAGATCAAGGCCGCGCGGGGCCAAGGGCCAGCCCGGGTGATGTCCAGTCGCCTCCACTGACCCTTGGCCATTGCCTTCACCCCAGGAGATCCCGGAGAGTCTACGGGACGACGGAGGCCCCCGGAGGCCCCGCTCTACGCGCCGAGGTGGGGCTCAGGTGGGGCTGGTCTGGACTTGGACGGGCGGAGACAGAGTCCCTGTTCATAGCCTATCCTAGTACCAGGATGGGTGGGGGGCGGGGCAGGGTCACCCTGGGCCCCCCCCCCCCCCCCCCCCAGCCCCCCCCGGCCCCCCCTGCCCCCCCCCCCCCCCCCCGCACACAATGGGGTCTTGCCTTTCCAACCAATGGGGACTCGCTTGGGGCTCGGGATGGGAGGGGCCTGGGGGAGGGACAGAGACAGGGGGGCGGGGGAATCTCCGACCCCCTGAGCCCTCCCCCTAGCCATGGGTCCTCGCTACTATTGTAAGGGCCCCAGGGGCCAGGGCAGGGGATAGGAGAGGGCCTCCAGTATAGGTCCCATACCCCTGACCCAAAGCTCTGCCACCCACCTCCTAGGTCAGCCCAGGGGACCTCCAACTCGATGGTGTAAAGTGAGCTTTAGCTACAGCCCAGAGCAGCCCGATGAGCTTATGCTCCAGGCTGGGGAGATGGTCCAGGTGCTTCGAGAGGTGAGGAGAGAACCACTGAATTTGCTTCTGGACACGGGTTTCAGACTAGTGTGCATGACGGAATGCTGATACCCTTCTGTCTATTTGGACCATTTCTCCAGATTGAAGATGGTTGGTGGCTGGGGAAAAAGAACGGGCAATTCGGGGCTTTTCCCTCTAACTTTGTGCAAGAGCTGGACTATAGGCCTTCTGGTGAGAGTCCCTGACCCCTATGTGAGATGGTCAACTCATTCCCTGGTGAACCCCTATTCATGAATCCTTAATTTCAACTCACTGACCTCCCTGCTCCTTAGCCCCTGAATCATAATTCCTAGACCCCTGACCTACCTGAATCCTTC